ATCATATACATAAGGGGACACGGCTTTTGTGAGCAAGGCTTGCGTTTTTGGCTTGTGTGGATGGTGGATACTCAGCCCTTTAGGCCTCTTACTCCCGCCTTGCTCAGCTCTGGGTCATCTTGGATTTGGATAGGATTGCAAACTGGCAGAAAAAATGACAAGGATGACACAAAGAACTACCGCACACTCAGATTCACCAAGCGGTAACTCCCTGTCCACCCGACCCCCTACACACACATGCATGTGTGCATGTACACGTGTGTGTCATTTGAGAGCAAGTTGCAGACATGCCCTTTTATTCCTAAATAATTAGCGTGTTTCCTAAGAACGAGGACGTTCTCTTACGTAAGCGCAGTGTAATGACGAAACCCAGGAATTGGAGCATTGCTCCAATTGGATTATCTAAGCCACAGGCCACACACAATTTCATCAGTTGTCCCAATAATGTCGTTTTGGATTTTCCCGATCACCACTGTATTTAGGGGCCGTGTCTCCATATCCTGGAACGGTTCCTCGGCTAGTCTTGACCTTGACTTTTTTTTTTTTAAAGATTTTTTTATTGGGTAATTGGGGGGATGGAAACAGTGATGGGGAATTGCGGGAAGGGGAACAGACAAGTTACTGTCCTTTTGTTCTTCAATCTAGTTGTGGAGGACGCTGCTTCACTGGCCCAAGTTGGCACCATCATTGCGCTCTTCCCGGGCGAGGCAGATCAGTCACCGGCTTCTGGACGGCCGCTCACTGCGGCTGCTGGCCGCTCACACTGGCTGCTGGCTACACACGGTAGCCCATGGCAACCCACTGCCACAGGGACTGCAGCCTACGCCGTCGCCAGCGACTCACGGCAGCCCAGCTCCAGGTTGAGCTGTTGTTCAGCATCTTAGCTGTGGAGGGCAGTGTCACTGGCCCTCATATGTGGGATCCGAACCGGGGCCCTCTGGCGTCCCAAGCCAGTTCTTAACCATCGCGCCACTCGGCCGGCCCTTGACCTTGACATTTTTGAAGAGCCCAGGCCAGGTCCCTCATTGTGGGCTGGGTGCTTCGTTCTTGAAAGCCTGTACTGTAGTACTTGTTTTACTACGCGTCCTGTGTCCTATAACCCGTGGTAGTCCGGTAGGGCTGGTGGTCACACCCACTTTTTGTAAATGAGCAAACCAAGGCACAGGGAGGTCACGCGATGGGTCCCAACAAATGGCAGCGCTGAGAATCAAATCTAGGATCACCTACTCTGCCCGCCAGGCACTAGGAATAGTGACATCAGTCAGACCCTGAGAATAACAGTGCTAAGCAAGCACTTGCTCTGAGTCTGACTTTGTACTAAGCATTCTGCGTACATTGCGGTACATCCCCAGCCTAGCCCTGGAAGGTAACTGCTCTCCTCAGCCCTGATTTACAGGTAACTGCTCCATTTACAGAGAGGTTCAGTAGACTGCCCAGGATGCACAGCTGTTACCTGGCGGCGATGTGCTCTTCCCTGGCAGCCTGCATCCAGGCCTGGACCTCAGAGTCTCAGGCAAACATATGAGACTGGTGGCTTTCACCAGCTTTGCTGACCCTCCAGCAGGCACACAGGACTACCTGTGTTTATGTCCTTTTCTGGGGTCTTCTCTACGGGGAGTGAACACATCCCAAGGCCAGGGCTACCCTCAGGGGCTTCCTGGGTGTGCGTGGGGGTGCAGTGGGAAAGCTGGCCTGTAATCTGCTCCTGTAGGTGCCTCAGTCCACCTCCGTGATCTGTTTGCGGTGACTGGATGGTGTTTTGATGATTTCCAGGTCAGGAATCGCCATGAAGCCATTCAGTTGATGGCTGGCGCACTCTCTTGTATTGAGCAGTCCTGGGCCCCTGCCCGTGGGGTGGCTGGTCCTGGATGCCATCAGCGTGCCCAGTTGGCCCCATTGCCCAGGCAATGCCCAGGTGGCGTTCAAGGCCGCAGCCCGAGAAGGAGGCAGCCTCGCTCACAGCAAAGCTGGTGACGCATTATTCAGTCCTGCCCGTCACGCCCCGTGTGCCTCACCTTCTCCATGGAGAAAGTTATTATGGCCCTGCCTGTCAGGTTATGGAGAGGGCAGACACTCTGAAACTGTGTGGACACACTGGGGATTCTGCTGGCAGTGCAAGGAAGATTCCGGAGCGCCATGCCCAAGGGGCCGGCGTTTGGGCCCTGATGCGCCTCTTGCCTCCTGGGGACCTTGGGGACCCGGGTCTGCGTGCCATGGGCTTTCAGGCTCTCATTCATCAGAGCCCAGCGTGGGGTCCCCACCAGTGATCTTCCGCCCTCCCGAGTGACATCAGGGAAGTATCGTCGGCATCCTGAGAAATCCTGTGGTCCCCTGGTTCAGGTGGCAGTGCAGGCAGAGCAGGTGACTGTCCGTCTATGGGACACAGTGTTGGCAGGAGGACCTGGGAGCAGAAGCCACATCACCCTCAGGCCCAGGCCTCCGGCACATGCTGCACAGGCCTCAGCACCCGGCACCGTCTTCCGCTGGGCTGGCGGAGCCTGAGGGTGAGTGGCTGAGCCAGCCTGTCACCCTGTGCTGGGCCAGTCTCCTTTACCCCTGGCTTGTCCCTATGGGTGGGAAGTGACCATACCACCTGCCATGCTTGGTGCATTGAGGTGGGACAGTGTCCTTTCCACTCCGACCACCCTGTCCAGCCCAGAAACCCCTCCCCCAGCTCTGGCAGCGAGCCTCTGGCTGGGCTGACTCCTGGGAGAAACTTAGAAATTTCAGTTCCTTAATTTCCACGGAACTTTGCTCCATGGTTTGAAACATTAATTAAAAACATTAATCAGTTTGGCTGCCTTGGAGAGAGTTTCTTTTGCAGCGGGAGCTCCCTTTCTGGGTTGTTGCCCCCCCCCGACCCCCCTCCCAGGAGGATGGGAGTGAGCTTGCAGAGAAGACGAGAACTCAGCCACAGGTTTGTTGTTTGGTGTCAGGCAGCCTCTTTAGCCTCTCTGAGCTTTAGTTTCACATCTGTAAAGTGGGGTTGTGGGTTGTACTGTGACCTGATCTCTTGGGGTCATCGTGGGTGCTCACTGAGGTCCTGGGAGGATAGTCCTCAGCACAGTGTCCTGTACGGAGGGCGCTTGCAAATGGCACTGTTGCTAGGACTCACTCCACCGCTCTAGGACCTTCTAGTTTATAGAGTGCCTCTTGCATGCACTGTCTCGTTTCATCCCAGCGGCAGTCCGGGTGACCGTCAACTCCATCTCACAGGTGAATGTACTGAAAAGTGAGGGTCACGCCAGGCCTGGAGCTGAGCCCCTTGCACTCGAGCCCGGGCTTTAGCTCCGTCCTCACTTGTTTCCTTCGCCCCATGTGCTGAGCCCCACACGAAGTCTTTGTGGTGAGATAGGAAGAGGGGGGAGGCCTTTTTCCCTCCTTATTGGGGGGAGACTAAGAAGTTAAGGCCCGGGCATTTGCTTACGTGACATGCATTGTTGCTGACACTCCTAAGCGTCTGTAATATGCCAGGCCACGTGCTTAGCAAAGATTCTCGATTACCATGAAGAACAAACTTTTAGGATGAGGCTCAGACAGTAGGGACTTGCTCAGGCTCCTCAGAAGACCTCTTTAGTAGAACCGGGGTACCAACCCAGGCAGTCTGACAGAGAGCCCACCGGCAAGATGGGGTGCTGCCCTTTTTGGGGCAATGAAGCCAGTGCATTTCAATAAGGAAAACGTGCTTTCTAGGTCAGGATGCCCGAGAAGCGTGGGAGGCTGCCCACACAGGAGCGTGGCTGTGCCGAGGAGGGCATCTTTCTGAGTGCATTGCCCGTCAAAGGGACCTCTCCCAGCAAGGGAGAATTCACCATCCTGCTGGGAACTGGGACTCGGAGCACCCCATGGCTTCAGCTTGAAGGGAGGAGACAGGACGCGCTCTCAGGCTTGCAGAGCTGTTACACGTCGCACTGTGACACTGGCACAGCCACAGGAGGAATGTGATACCCAGAGGGCCAGAGACGGAACTATGGCCAGATTTTCCCTGCAGGAGAGAGGGAGTTGATGGTGGGGAATTCAGGCCTGCTGGCCTCTGCCCTTGGGGCAAGGATGTTTCTCCTGCCGCTCCCAGATGGCGGGCACATTCCCCTTCAGAACCCGTCTGTCTTCTTTCTTGTGAGTCTGTTCGCTCGGCTCCATCTTGATGATTTGGCGTCCAAGAGGCTGGGGGGCTTTTGTGGGGGACGGGAGGGCGGCCTGGAAGGGGACAGGATCACCCCATTGGAAATGTAATAGTATGGCTTTCTGGGGGAGCCCCGTCATCCCATGAAGGAGAGGAAGGCAGACCTGCTTTGGGGTATCTTAGGAGGCCCTCCCAGGGCTGGTAAGAGCAGGGGCCCTGTGTCCCCACACTGCTTCACCGCGTTTGGCTCCCTCCTGTAGCCATCTCGATGAACAGTTAGGATAAGAATCCCTGGTGGGGCTACATTTTTGTGTTCCCTGAGTAATGCAGGATGTCCACTGATTACATGTTCCCAGATGACAGTGTGGGGCTCAGATAAAAGTTAGGACCAAGCTCATCTGATACAGCTTCCCTGGCTTGCATACCCCCCACCGGCTATGGAATGTGCTGGGCATGGAGACAGGCTGTTCTCAGGAGGAAGTGATTAGATATGTTTCTCATCCCCTCTAGCCAGAACGCCTAGAATCAGATGAATGCAAGTTTTAGCGGGGAAGGGGAACACGAGCATTGGGTGAAGGCTTGGGCGTCAGGGAGACCCGACTATCCGTTCTGGCCTGGCCTCTCCTGATGCGACTCCTGAAATATGGAGCTATCAAAACCCATCTCATAGGATTAAATGGCTTAATGTATTTAATTATCTATCACAATACTTGGCACATAATAGTTGCTCAGTAAATGACTGTTCTTCCAGTGCCTCTCATTGAGCATATACTAGTAGATCTTTCTTACATTTTGGATGAATGAAATATCTCATGACCAAATCTATTCATGTGGGCATCGATGCTAATCATTCTGTCCTTTTCTTGTATATTTCCAGGATCCTGTTATACCTGGGCTTTAGGTGCTTTTAATCTGGAGGAAAAAATATATATATATATCCATTCAGCATTCGAAGTGGGCATTGAGAACTACCTTTCCCTGAAGTAAAGCTGCAATATCTTGAGAGTTGGAGAAATAAGGTAAGGGATGTCCTCCTTTTGAGCGTGTGGGACCAAACATGGCTTTTGGAATTGGTGATTTCTTGCATCACAACTTGGGTTGAGGTTCTCGACCTGTCAGCCTGGCTTCCTGGGCCGCTGACCCCACAGTGCTGGGAAGCTGGCTTTCTGTCCCCGCACGCTGAGACACAGGACCTGGCTCCCAGCATTTGGTTGCCTGGACCTTGTAGTGGGAGCTCTACTTCTGTCCCCAGCCAAGGAAGGACCCACCATTTCCTGCGTGGATACCTCAGTGCTCCCCACCTGGCAGAAGGTGGGGGGGGGTGCTCCAACTGTCCTGCTAAGACATGGGGACTACACTGGGGAGAGGACAAGAAGGTGCCGTGGGGGTTCCATGATCGGATCCAAACGCCTTTGGGGGCATCTAGAATGGGACCTTTTCCTCCCTCCCCTCCTCCTTGAATTGCATGTTCCAGCCACCCCAGGTCTGAGGCTGCCTGGGGTGAAGGGTGAGAGGTTACAACCCAGGGCTCCAGGCAGACCCAGTTATCCTGGTTTTGCTACTTGCCTCCCCTTGGGCAAATCACTCAGCGTCTCCCAGCCTCCATGTGTAAAGCAGGGATGGCCTTTGCGCCTGTCTCAGGTGGATGCCGTGGGTTTTAAAGGACACAGCAGAGATAAAGGGCTTAGCATGCTACCTGGCACAGAGGAGCAAATGCTCCAAAACGGGAGGTGTTTAGTTTTTGTCTTTTTTACATTAATTAATTATACCGTGTAGAGGTCCTTCCATGCAGCAGGCTATTTTCAAGTGCTTGGCCAGCACTTCTCTCTGCCTTTCCTCTGCCACACATCTGCCTGGGTAAAGGCGTGTGAATGACCTTGCAGGTGGAGCACAGACCCTCGCCCTGAGTGGAGTTGCTTACTCTCTCCCCGGGACTGCAGCCAGCAGCTTCCGGCCTACCTGCATTGTACCTGGTGGTTCCTTGCGCCTCCCCTGTCTGTCCCCCCCAGTGGCTTCCGAGCTTTTTCCAGCAAGGACTGTCTCACAGGTCCTGACACCCCAGGCTGGGGCTTCCCATTATGGATGTTGAAAGAACAAATGAATGGATAATGGAAAAGGAGGGAGTAGAGGGGAAAAGAGAGAGAAACAGAGAAAGAACCCAAAGATGAAAGTTTTTCAAGCCTTAGAGCATAGAATGAGGCCAGGTGCAAATTTTTTTTTTTTTAAGGAGATGTTGAAAAGAATACATAACTTGATGAAAAGAGGAGAACAAGCCCTCCCACACATTTGAAAACCATATGGGGGTGGAAAGGTGGGTGAGAGTGTGGACGGCTTTGAAGACGGCTAGGGAACTCAGAACTCAGAGTAGCGAAGGAGTGTGCTAACGAGCTACTTGTGGCATCTTTTCTCCAGTGCCAGATATTTTTCGGAGTGCATGTGTGTTTCCTGTGTCCTGTGTCAGAGGTCTCGGGACACACAGAGCATGTGGCCTTGCTCTTCAGTCGAGGTGGGGGAACTGATGCACGCTAGGACACTCCAGATTCTCGAGGATTGTGGGGGGCCTGGGGAGGGGCCCTCGTCCTTGGGAGCCTTCCTAGAGAGGGTGCTGCCTCTTCAGACTCTCGAAAGCCGAATAAGACCTCCCAGGAAGGAGCCGAGCTAGCGGACTTGCAGTGCAGGAGCCTGTGCGCCCCCTGTTCCCCATTTGCATTTGCATTTTGTGATCTAATTTCCCACCTCTAGTGTCAGTGCTAGTCCGCACTGAGGACAGCTGACAGGACTGCCTGTGTGAGTGCTGCGTGCCATTTGTGACCCTCAAGCACCCAGCCAGTCCTAGAGTTTTGTTTTGGGCGCCCTCGCTCCTGACCCAGGGAGTCGGCTTTGGGAACAGGAGTGGACGTGGACATGCAGCAAGCAGCCTCTTCTGTGACCCCCATGCCCTATAGCTTCTGGGGTCTGTTGCCATTGTGGGGGAAAGGGCAGATGGCGCTCCGGTCACTGGGGCAGAGGATCTGAAAGCTGGAAGCACCGTCTCTTGATGCCGTGGCGGCCAAAGTGAGCGTTGTTGCCTGTGAACAGAGGAGAGGCTTGGCAGGTCTGTCTGGGGGTGATGGGAGAGGAATTTCCCTAGAATTCAGCCGCTGGGAGCAGGCAGAGCAGGGGTGGGTGCTGGGATGCAGAGACGCGCAGTCCTGCACACGCCCAGGGCAGGGCTGAGTGACGGGGGCTCTGACAGAGGCCCAAGCACTTGGCTGTGCCTGTGGTGGTTGTCTTTATCCTAAATGCACTGCGGTCCCATGGGGAGCCTGTCTGCCTGCATCCCTGTCTAGAAAGCAGCTTCACTGGGCTGCATACCACCAGAAGGGTGCCCGCGCCTTCCCCATGCACGAGCCTGGGCCGTTGGACTCTGGGCCGTGGAACAGAGGTCCCAGTAACCTGGATTCCATGCTTCCCAGCCCCACCTCCCACCGCCTGTGACCCTGGGCAAGGCCTTCACCACTTCTCAAGCTCCCCTTTTCTCAGCTGCCAAATGGACCGGTCCCCACTTGGGGTGGTCATGAGGATCACAGCACCGGGCCTGAGGAGACGGTCAGTGAATGGGAGCCCTTAGTGTTTGCTCTCTTCCGTCTGCTTACCTGTCTGGCTCCTGGCAGTCTGTGTTTGTCTCACCCAGGCCCCTGCTTGACATGCACACGGGGCTGGCCTCTTCCCTTTGACCTCCGTCTTGGTCTTTCGGACCCCTCTCCTGGCCCTGCCTGATACTCCCAAGCTGACCCCTCGGGTCCTTGGTGAGAGGGTCCCCCTCACAGCTCCTGCCTGCCTGTCTGTGGCCACGAGCCAGCCCTGGTCATCCACCGTAGGTGCGTGTGTGAAGGTGGCTTCCTGTATTGTGTCCACCGTATTGAAAACTCTGGCCCACTCGGAACTCTACACTTGAAACAAACATATTTGAGAAACACCTCTAGTTTTGGCCCATTTTATACTACTGCTCTGTTTCTTGTGGTTTCATGTTGAGGTTTTTGGCTCATCGCATTTAACTTGGAGTTTATTTTTAGTAGCGAAGGCAGTTCAATTAATGTCAAAACATGAGAGAGAATGCAGAGGAGGGATTCGTAAGTCTAGGGGAAAATGTGCCTTATTTTTGTTTTTTTTTCTGATAAGGTCTCACACCATCGGATGCGGCGCTTCCTCTGTGGCGCCTACGATGGATGGGCTTAGAGGAAAAGGGAAGGTTTTGGAGCCTTCAGTTCCTGTCATCTCCCCGGTGGGTTTCATTCTGTCTCTAGAAGCAGCATCCAACTCTCTTGAACACCAGCTCTTCTCCCTGGGTTGTGAGAACGCTCTGGGTCTTGTTCTCTCTCGTGCCTCAGCTTTTGGCATCATGACAGGTGCACAGGAAATGCTTGGGGCGTGTTTTCTCAGATTGACCGAATTTTAGGACCTGGAGTTGGCGACACAGTCACAAATGATGCAGAAAGTGCTTTTCCATCAAGTGTACCTCAGTCTGCTTGGGACAAAAAATAAGCACTGATGTCTGCTTAGGACTTCACAGTTTATAAAGTTCTTTCTCACCTTTTCTCCTTTTTTTTTTTTTTTCATTCCGCAACTATTTACTGAGAACCTGCCGTGTGCCCTTATGTGGGGTGCACGGAATGAATCAGAAAAAGCTACCATTCTCGCTTTGAAGGAAATCCTGAGACAAGCTGGCTTTATGGATCCGTGTTGCTGGGCACTGCACGGGCGTGTCCCCCACAAATTCATCTGTGGAAACCCTACTCCCCCTTGTGAAGGTGATAGGAGGTGGAGCCTCTGGGAGGTCATTAGGTCAAGGTCATGAGGCTGAAGCCCCTGTGATGGGATTAGTGTCCGTATCAGAAGAGAAGCCTGTGAGTAGCTTCTCTCTCTGCCCTCCACCATGTGAGGACACAGTCGAAGACAGCTTTCTTCAGACCAGGAACTGAGGCTGCTGGCACCTTGATCTTGGGCCTCCAGCCTCCAGAACCTGTGAGGAATGAATGTCTGGTGTTTAAGACCCCCAGCCTATCGTATCCTGTTACAGCAGCCTGAGCTGACAAAGACGCCCTTACTTCACAGGTGAATGAACTGGACACTCAGAGAAACGGCATCGATGAGAACTTTCTGCTCCTTTGAACAGGCGTGGTCTGCATCCAGCCCCTCCAGCCTGCACCCCCGCCCCCTCCCCTCATCTGCAGGGGTATTTGGACTCTTTCCTTGCTGTTCCTCACTGCTTCACCTCTCCCTTTCCCCCTCTCCCAGCTCTGTTTCTTCTGAAGATGAGGACCTTTCTCTCTCCAATGCCTCCTGGAGGAAGAGATCTGAGGATAAGGGGCTGCACTCTGGGCTCCTGCCTGGGGCAGTGGTCTGTGTCACCCAGTCCCCCTCCCCTGCACCTCCTGTGGTGACTTTCTCATTAGGAGCCAGGTCCTGTGCCAGCTGTGGGAGACAGTGGAGCAGATGCACAATGTACTGTGGGAGACACAATGTATTCAAACAACTGTATTTGCAGCGTTAAGTACTAAATGTTTGTGCTGCTGCCGCCCCCACTGTCCCATCTACCCCCCATTCATATACTGAAGCCTTAGCCCCTAATGTGGCTGTATTTGAATAAAGGGACTAATTAAGGTCAAATGAGATCATAACAGTGGGGCCCTGATCAGATAGCATTAGTGTCCTTAGAAGAGGAGGCACCAGAGAGCTAACGCACTCTCTGTCTCTCCCTCTCTCCCTCTCTCCCTCTCTCCCTCCCTCCCTCCCTCCCTCCCTCTCTCCCTCTACCATGTGAGGACACAGCAAGAAGGAGGCTATCCACAAGCCAGGGAGAGTGCTCCCACCAGAACCTGAATCGACCAGAGCCCTGATCTGGGATCTAGCCTCCAGAACTATGAGAAAATAAATGTCTGTTGTGTAAACCGCACAGCCTCTGGCATTTTGCACAGGCAGCCTGAGCACGCAGACATGCACAGAGGGTGCACACCTCAGGCCACAGGCCACAGGGCAG